AGATTGATTTAATCAATTATTTGAGGTTTCTGAGGCGCGTCCACCCCGTCACTTAACTTGCTAAAGCAAGAGCAACTCCAGCTAGCTAAGGCTAGCTTTCGTGACCTGGGTCGGTTGACTGCTTGTTGTTTGTAAAGCTTCTCTGCTGTAAGTGCTTCCTGGATGTTGATGTGGAGGGGCTTCTTCCATGTCCACACCTTCTCGATCTTTCAGCTGGATGAGAGGCGAACGTCGTTCACGAGGGCTCTCTAGCATCAGTTGCAAGGTCCGTGCTTGCGGACGTCATCAGCTTTCTATGAAGAGCGTCTGAGCATCTGAGAAAGCTGCCGCAATTGCCCCTGCTAGTGCATCAGTGTAGGCTGCCGATGGCTTTGCCCATTAATTTTCCCTCGATGGGATGCGTCGATGAATCCTCCGTATACTTCCTCAAAAGTGTGTAGAAAGACGAACTCTTTGAAAGTGGAGACCCGTACCCACAGGATGCTGTCCATGTTTCAGAGGCTAGACCATTGATCACGAGGTACAGCCATTCGAGCAGCTTCCTCATCTTTGATTTGCGTGGCTGCTCCAAAAGGCCAGGAATACCAAGGACTGCTGCCAAATTCATCAATGCCAGAGCCCTCAAAGCCTGGGAAGTGCCAAGCAGTGCCTTGGGCTCGGTAGGCTCAAAGGTTTTGGGACAAGTCCAGTGGGCGGTGGGCCGGAGAGCACGTGGTGTCATGAATGAGTCGAGTTGGCCCTTCTCAATGAGGTGGAAGACCCACCTGAGAACGTTCAGGGAGGACAGGTCATAGTGAGGCGATCCAGAATATAGGGCCAGGGCCTTTGCAACTTTTCCTGCTCCTCCACAAATATCAATGAAGTGGAAACGGAGGTCCTCATCAAGGAAGCCAGCCTCATCTTCTTTCTCCTCATAGAGCCAGTCGATCTTCCTCAGGATTGCCTGATGCCTGGACAGCATCCTTGCGTAGCTGGATTTTCTCCTCCCTGTGCGGAACAAGAACCGAGCAGTATTTCTGGGCAGTCTTGTGGAGACCATGGCACCCTTCGCATCGGAGGAGTCTGTGGAGAAGCAGTCGTCTTGAATCTCTGTAGCAAGATCCGTGGCCATGTAGGGGCATAGGACTGCAAGGAGGACCAGCTCGTCTGCTGCTTTACTTGTCAGCGGACCGGCGACGGTTGCTCCTGGTCAGTGCTCGACATTGGGACCTCTTAGACGTTCTGGAGTAGTGACATCATTGGCCGTCGAGAAGGGCATTGACCCAACCTCCAACCAAGCATGCGATGAGCGCATCTGAAGTGAAGCTCGGGCCCGGATGGTTGGGGAAGAATCGACTTCCGCTCCCGTTTGCTCTGATCGAATGTCCTTCTGAGGTGAGCCCAGGCGTTCTGCCTCATCATAGGCCCTGCAAGCTTGCAATACTCTGGTTTGGCCAAGAAGATCTCCATCACGATCTCTCAGGTATCTTGGTCTTTTGTCCCTTGAGGTCAGCTAGGTCCAGCAGGGCCACAAACAGTTTGAGAAGGCTCTAGACTGGGTGACTCGAATCTGCAGATCGACAGGCGCTGCTTGTAGGGGTTGATCTCGAGGTCGAAGAGGCACTGTGGTGTAGGAAGACCTGACGAGACTCCTGCCAGACGGCCCTCCCTGTAGTTCCGGGACCCCCGATCTCCGATCATACGATCGACCTCATGGTTCTTGTAGGCGTTGAAGAATCTCATGGCAGGGTCTTTTCGTAGTTTAGCGAGGTCATGAACACTCTTGTACTTCTCCTTGTCCGAGTCGGGTGCCGAAGGAGCCTCCAAAGAAGTAGTCCAGATCAGTGAAGCCGGTTCAACGAAAGCCATCCATAGGAGGTCGGAGAGGTACGGCTCAATGTCCCAGGACGCCTTGCCAAACAGCTCCAGTCTGGAAGGATCAAGTGTACGATATGGACGCAGCTCCTTGGCGCGCTCAACAGGACTCTGATCTTGCCCTGCAAGCCGTCCGGGTCTCCAAGAAAAGTTTTGGTATAAGCATCTCCTCCAGATCCCTCCCATGTAGCGAACTCGGAGAGGTCGGTGAGGAAGGAGATGAGCGAGGTTGTTCTTCGGCCACTCGCCAGTGCATCAAAGGGTTCCGGAGAGCTACCAAAGGCTTTGAAAAGGTTCCGCAAATTGTCCAAAGCCTTCCGCTGAGCACCATTCGGAGTTCTAGCCATGGAGTTGTAACTTCCCATCGGAGTGCCAGTAGTTCAGGGCCATGACGGAAACGTGAAAGGCCTGATCAAAAGCTCTCTTTCTTCTTTCTTTCTGTCCACCTCCTCCAGACTTGAAGATGCGCAGCTTGGGAAGTGGAAGCGGAAACAAAGCCGTAGAAGTTGCGGGCGAGCGCAAACTTGTAGCATGCAAGGTGGATCTAAGGAAAGCCGCAAAGGGGGTCCTCGTCCTCAAAACTTGTGAGTATATAAGGAAGATGCCCAGGTCCAAAAGGAATAGGTCTGCGGGCAGTCCCACAAACCTTGTCTGGTAGCGCCAGCTGTAGTCTCACCGAAGAGCTCGGGCTGGCCAGGGGCATCAAAATCATCACTGCGGCAGGAACTGGCCGAGTCCCCTGGAACAGGCAGCGTCATAGTGGATGCCCTCTGCGATGTCCTTGTGCAGCGTGGAGGCTACAAGGTGCACCCGAGTTCGCCTTGTTCGACGCCCTCAACTAAGAGGTGGTTGAATCCCCTTGCTTTGGCCTCTTGGGATATCGTTGTTTCTTCTTCGGCTCGGAGTCCTCCGACTTCTCCTGATTCTTCTTTGTGGGAATGGCTTCTTGTCTCCTCGTATTGATCATGTCCACCTCCTTCACGAAGCTCAGGGCCCACTCTGGAGGACAGAGAGGAGAGAATGCTCTCAGTCGAGGATTGGCCGATGGCGGTCGAGATGTGAACATGCCCAGAGGAGGATCTTCTTGTAGTAGTGCGAGAATCCAACCGACTTCCCACTTCCCGCCATCCTGGGCTACCTGCTCGATGGTGACCAAGGCCAGTGCTAGCATCTCTTGAGCTCCTTTCTGATCTCCATTGAGCATCATGTCGCCCATCTGGCAAACCAGCCACATCATCAGGCCAAAGTCTCTCTGTCCAGAAAAGCCACCATTCCTCTCGACATACCTCGAGAAAAGGGCTCTGCCACCAAAACCATTGAGGGTAGTAGGAGGAGTCTCTGATGGCTTCAGTCGCCTGAACGCATTCTTTGCCGCCTTGAGGAAGAAGTCGCCTAGAAATCCATCAAAAGTTTCTCTCTCTTGGCTGAGCCTTTCAGCGAGAGGGAGTAGGAGGAACTTGCACCACCGAGGTCCCCATAGCCGTCTTGACTGACGAGGTGTGCAACCAACGTAGACAGTGCCTGAGACTGCCTTCGAGGACTGCCCCTGCCCAACAGCCAGCGTTCCAAGCACGTAGGGCTCTTGCACGGACGGAGGATGGAGTACCTGAAAGGCGATTGCAAAGGTCAATGCAAGCCTCCGGAAGATCAGGAATGCTCCTGGCCACGTCGTCGTAGGCAGAGGAATTGGATCGCGCGGATCCTTGTGCCCAAGATGTAGTTCTCCTCTCAGGAGTAGCTGGCAGCGGAGGGACCACGTCCCAAGTAGAAGCCTCAGAAGGCTCGGACAGCACGGCCGGCGGCCCAGTGTAGGATCCAGCAGAGATGCCCTCGGCACGGTTGGCAGCAGCCTCAAGGTGCAGCCAAATCGCAAAGGAGATGCAAGCAAAGGCGCACAAGCAAAATCCAGAGGTAAAAATGGAGGCCAAATAGGCAGGAGAGGAGCCGCACACCCTAAACCAAACCAATTGGTCGCACTCCCCCACGAAACCAGGTTCAAAAGGTCTACGAATCCCGGCTGCATACAAGGCTTTGAGCCCACCACATGGCATTCAGAGTTAGAAGGCATATATATAGTCCTCTGCAAGAATTGGCAACCAGTTCATCTATGCGTCTGGAACCCCTGGACCCATGATATCTTCATCCTCAACGTCGCACCTCCTTGTGCACTTTCTGGCACTCAAGGCTGCAGAAGGGGCCCAAACAACGAGGGCATTTGTACCTGGTGCAAAGGGGCTTGAGAATACATCGGAACATTGAACAAGAAACAAAAAAAACAGAATGTTGGACTGCAACAGAATTTCAAAGTTCCGCAAGGTAAAAAGGACCACCTACTCCATCTCGCGCCACCTCGACATGCTTCTCCCCTGCCTTGCCCACTGCAGGCAGTGGCATCGGAGGCGTCTGGGCCACGAAGAGGGGCCAACCTGGCTAACACCAAGATGAGGCGTGGTGATTCCGTGGTGACTCCGAAGAACACTGAATTGGGTCGCTCACGGAGTCTGTCGCTAATCCATGCGCCCTCCTTCTCGACTTGATTGGATCGCCAGCGTCGCCCCGACCGACCCGCCGACGGGCTCGCTGGGTCTTTCTTCCCCACGGCGCAGTCGCGTCGCTCGCAGTCGGTGCAGGTGCTGCTGGCGCAGCAGTTCACATGCACCTGGTGAACGGCAATGCCAATCCAAGGAATTGGCGTTAGTTTCATTCTACACCTCTTTGTAAGCTATCGTCAAGCCATGGTTTGTTCGAATGGCTACCCACGTTTCGTCTCATGGTTGGAGCTGCTCCCTACAAGATGGCGAATGCAAAGCCGTCAAACCAAAAAGGAATCCTGTGGCTTTCAGTGATCGCCTGGCGTGCCAAAGAGTACCCACAACAATGCGATCAACTTGGAGCCCGACCTGGCCTCTATTTGCATTCACTTCTTTTCTTCTGGATTGGCTTCAGTGCCTTCATCCTCGTGAGCTGCGTGGCCAGGCTGCTTGGCCCCATTTCAGTCACCATCCCCAAGGACTCAAGAAAAAGAATAATCCCTCAACTCAGCGTCAGTAGGCTATTGACTGTAGACATCATCTCAGTAGATCAACTGCGCAAGGGTCAGCAGTCAACCGAGTCAACCGAGTCAACCGAGTCAACCTGTCTACGAAGGTCGTCTCAGAAGGTAAAGGACACCTGGTTCTGAGGCCTTGAACGAAAAAGAATGCACTCCTGGTTTCTAACGAAAACGAATGAACCTCCTAAGACTACACCAAAAAAGGGAAATGTGTGGGTTCCGGATGTTTCCGGGTTGCGTCTATTGCAGGAAAACACGGCTTTTCTTGTTCTCTAAGTTCGTGTATGTTGTGCAGGGAATCTCTTCTTCACCCGGGTCCTTCTTGATGCGCTGCCGAATTAGCTGAACCACCTGGCATGTGAACAGATCACGTTCCTCGCGTTCATGGAAGAGCCACATCAAATCTAGAGCGACCTTGCTTGGGAATGCAAGGAATTGAGAATGTGGCTGCTGACCAGGTCTACGATATCGTAACCAGCCTAGAGTCTAGAGTCTAAAGGCTCACTGAATTCTTGGCATCGATCGCCGATCGCTTGGACCAAAGATGAATGAGATCTACAAACCAGGTCAATGCTGGAATCTGTCGACATGAGGTTTTCTATCGATGCATGATGACATAAAGCATTATAAAGCTTGTGATGTTTGTGAGCACTCCGAATGGTCTGGTGTTGTAACCAGCATGTTGACGACCATGTTGTTGGCCGGCACTAAAGGTGGAAAGGCAAACATCTGCCATCAAACCTGCCACTGATCAAGAAGACTCCCTGGCCCAGACATCACCAGGCTCATCACCAGGGGGGCCTCACGGGCCCAGGTGAGGCCGACAAACTCTGCCCAGGCACGGCACGGTCCGTTCGGGCCGCCAGGGTGTGCATCTTCCTCTCCACGTCACGCTTCAGATCCTCATCTCGATGAGGAGATGGAGGTCCCCAGGCACGGGAGTTGCGGCAGAGCTGTTGATTCTCCAATAGTTTTTTGTGGCTGTTTTTAGTGCCTCCCAGAACCAACCCTAGAAATCTTGAGGCATCCCAAACATGCAGAATCTGCTCCGAAGAACACACCACAGAAACCTCTGGTGTCAGCCAGATTCTCACTGTCACACCTCTTTCCCAATCCCACGGCCGGGTTCGAGCTGTCCAACCCCACAACATTGGAGCTTTTGGGCACATCAATACCACCGTTTCTCGGGCTTCCTCATGTTCCAGGCCTCCCCGTGGCTGTGGTCCCAGACCCAATTGGGCTTCCGCGGGGCGATGGCCAACACGGCGTCGGTATCCTGCGGAATTCATCGTTCCATCGAAGCAACAACAGAGTCCAAGCGAACGCGCCCAAGACTACTCTGCATGTTCGCCAAGTCTTTGGCCAACCGTCTCTTTCTCATTTTCGTTGTCCTCTCTCATCCGACTCGCACTTACACTGACTCACTTCATCCTCGCACCCACGTCCACAGCCCACCTCGGCGGCCGCGATGGCTTCCTGGATCTCCTTGTCGATCTCCGCCTACGGTCGCGACTTCGACGCGGTCAGAGCAGCGACGCGGTCGACGCGGTCGGACCTGAAAAGTCTGGGCAGGTGGGCAGCTCCTGCCAGGTCCTACCAGCTGTCCCCAGTGCTTTTCTTGCCCATTCCTTGGTCGCAAGTGAAACCCGTCTGCTAGTAGCATGGGGTTTCATAAGGAAACGTGGCAGGCCTGCAGGTCCAATCGACGAAAGTCGTTGATAAATCCTGGCCTCGATATCAGCAGAGGTGATCCTGCAGAACCACCGGCTCAAAAGAATGAGCTGTGATGTAGTGTTGTGTGTGTGTGTGTGTCGCAAAGGTTGCTAGATTGAACACATTTGGAATACGAAATACATCTATATACATACTGGACTTGTGTGTACGGGACGGCCATTGTTGCAAGTCTTGGGTTCATATTTCTTCCTGTCACAACCTCAGATCTGACAGGAGGCCGTCCTGGTGAGGCAAAAATCCCGCAGCTCGGGCCTCGATCGCTGGGCTCCAGAAACCGGCTTTTTCGGGGTCCACCAGGGGAGCACCATGTCGACATGGATCCAACATGGTCCAACACAATAAAAGAAATTTGAAACTTCAGAAGTGTCAGAAACACCGTGGTTCTTCAGCGAGCCACAAACTTATATTGAACTTGAGAGGAGGGAGACACGAAAGGTAGGACAGCGGGAAGAGAAGAGAACGCGAGAGGCAGGAACAAAAATGCATTGTTCGACATGGTGATTTATCCCCTCGGAGGCGACCTTTCGTAAATATATGTTCATATGCACTCTAAATGTTCAAACATATGCTCTCGAAATGTTCAAAAAGGTTCTTAGGAAAACAAACTTGCCCCATGGCTCAGATCATCGGTGAGCATTGAATCGGAACATCATAGGATTTGAACTATCCTGAAACCATAAGAGGCTCACGAAGACCCTCCCCAGGAGAGAATTGACGTGCTTCACAAAACAAACTCTAGGTATGTATCCCCTCGGGGAACACCTATCCTGAAATCATGAGAGGCTCACGAAGACGTTCTCCAGGAGAGAATTGATTTTAGAGGGGGGGAGGGGGGGGGGGTCTGAATTGAGCGATCAATTATTAGACCCGGACGTCCCAACACTTGCTTCGCAAGACAAACTCAAGGTATCCCCTAAAGGGCTACCTTTCGTGATAAGAGCTTTTGAGTCGGAGAAAGTCAACGCATGCATAGGGCGCCTCTTTGATAAACATGCATCGATATCCATCCCGAATCAAAGCCCACAAGTCATCCATCAAATCCTTACCTTCCCGTGCCTTCCTTGCCTTCTCCCTAAACGAGACAAGTTGAGTTTCACGGCGTGAAGGAGAACTATCTCTTCCAAGAGTGCCTGGTAAACCGCCTATCCAATGAATGTTGCTAAGGCCTGGGCGTTCGCGGAATATAGTTCCGGAAACGGATCTGGCGATCATCTGGCAGGTGGACAAGTTGTTCAGTCAAAGCAACTCGGCCAAAGGAAGCAGCATCCTTGTTTTAGCAAAGGGGCTCAGGCGCTCTTGCAAGCTTCATAAGAGCTAGGTCAGACGGTCACTCCAAGACCTACAAATTCGCTACATGCGCCTTTACACGTAGCAGTCTTGTTACATGCAACCTTCGGGCTCCCAAAAACAGGAATAGTCCTTCCAGTCCTCATTTCTACGCATCACAGTCTGGCGCATTTGGGGGTTGAGGTTTGCTGATCCAATGATTCAAAGTCATAGGCTACCCCCCACAACTCGGCCCAGCCAGCCAGCCCCTCCGTGGGCACCTTTCGGCGCCTCCTTCGCCTTCTTTGCTTTCTTCTTGGGCGGCCTGGTATCTCATGGTATCTCATGGAGCTCAAGCAGTATGGGGACATCCCAAGTCATTCCATCTGATCTCTTGGAACTCATCCGGCCCATGCTTGGGATCCCTGCTCGGCGGCTTGCGCCTCGGGAAAGCTTCCAGAAATGATATTGAGACTACATTGAAGCACTGAAGCTTTGCATAAAGCAAAATGTCTAGGCTGCCTGGGAGAGATGCGGCGCACACACTCCTGTCCCACATAACCACAGCCCTTGCCCTACCGGGTACCCAAGCAGAAAAAACCTTCTCAACCTCCCAACATGTGACTGATACCTAGATGCTGCATGAAGTTCAGCACATCTCATGTAACTTAACCACTCCCAACCACGGCGGCACCAGTGGCACCAGGCCTCTATGGCCATGGGCGCCCCAGTGGACGGCCGAAGTGTGACCCCGGCTGTGGAGCCACCGGCGATCGCGGCGATGGCGGATTGAAAAGTGGCGCGTCGATCACAAACCGGAGGCACGACGAGCGGAGACGAGAATTGGCAAAGGATCTTGTAGGAGCCACCGGCATCCAGTGGGAAAAGCCGCTTGATTACAGCACTGATGGCGGTGAGTGCTTTCAATTTCTGGGGCAACCCGTGCAGAACGTGGCCACCCTCCTCGGGCTCGAAAACTTTTTTGAAGGCCTACGACATCCTAGATAAGGTAGGCGCTGCCAAGATCAGCAACCACGAGTCCTTCGAATCCTGGAAGCTTTCAATCCCAATGCCCAGCTCTGACGATGGACAGGTGTGTCCGTATTTTTCCTAGCAGATCCTGCTGATTTCAAAAAGGCACTTGAGGGAATTCTTTTTTGGCGAGAAAGCTGCGAGCTTGCAAGATGCAACCGTATTCATCCTCGTTTGTCAGGACGTCTTGGTAGATTTCTTCGCCCCGTGGTGCAGCCGTCCTGTTCAAAGACGAAAAAGCGAATATCAAGAACAAGAGCAACTAGTTAACTAAGCTGCTTCGTTCTGTTTCAGGGACATTCATTACGTAGGTTTCCAGCCAGGTGTGGCCACTGCCGAAAATTCGAGCCACAGTACAAGCAGCTGGCGAAGTTTGGAACCCCAAAACTACAGAAATGACGTAGTAAGAAGAAGCTACTAGCTGCTCCTGGCTTTACTACTAGGAGCAAGGACGCTACTAGGGGCTCCTGGCCTTACTACTAGGAGCAAGGACGCTACTACGAGGAGCAAGGACGCTACTAGGGGCTCCTGGCCTTACTACTAGGAGCAATGTTCGCTACTAGGAGCAAATGAAGTATTTTGTTCCTAGTAGCGAACATTGCTCCTAGTAGTACGGCCAGGAGCCCCTAGTAGGGTCCTTGCTCCTAGTAGCGATGCCAGGAGCCCCGAACGTAGCATCTTTGTTCCTAGGGGAAACGACTCTCAGGCTTTGTCCGTTTTGACACTTGGCCTTCTTCTCGCCACATTCAGTGGGACCTGAGGAGACTAAAACATGTGAAGTCCCTGAGAATTGCAAAGATTGATGCGACACGGAATGAGGCGCATTTTTTTGCCAGACTTGAGCACCCTTGGAATAAAGCGGTCTTGTGGAATGACAGCACCTTTTGGGACTGTTTTTTACTTGACCAGTCTTAATTTGTTGCTTTCACATAAGTAACTTGCATTTTGTGTGTAAAGTGTGCGTGTTTTCTCTAGCTTTGCTTTGGTGCATTCTTTCACAATTTTTGGTCGGTCTGAGGTTTAATAAAGGATTTAAGTGAGACTTTGGGAGGTTGCGGCGGTGGTGGTGGTAGTTCAGAGGTCGTGACTATCGTCGTCATCATCGTTGTAGTAGGAGCAGTACTAGGAGAACCAGAATTAGTAGTTGGAGCAGCAGCTGCAGCTGTTTGGAGACTCAGACATGAGACTCCTTTAAGACGTGTCCTTGCAAGTAGTATATAGTTACTACTGTTTGGATACTTAGACCCCGTACTTTACACAAAAGACTGTTTGCTAGTTGTAGCGAAGGCTTACTCCCAGCAAGGGAACCTGCAGAATAGCCACCACAGAACTCCGGAAACCCTATAAAGGGCATCGCTACTAGGAGCAAGGATGCTACTAGGGGCTCCTGGCCTTACTACTAGGAGCAAGAAGCTACTAGGAACAAGAAATAAATATAACTTTTGAAGATCGCTTGACTGCCAACACATGCAGAAAACGCAGAGCCGTTCCTCAACCCGCATCGTGGTTTCCACCTCTGTCGCCCTTCCTTCTTGACCCAAACAAGGATGAGCTTCAGGTTCTTCACACCTTGAAAGTCCAAATCCATTCTCAAAGGAGCCGATCCCCCCAAAATCCGAGCCTCACAGCTGAAGAAGTTGGGGATGCCTTCAGCCTGGACTGAGCACTAGGCGTGCTGAGATAGGGAGAGACCTTCCGCAACACGGAGAGCAAAAATATACTGTGAAAGTTTTGTGCCGGGCTCCCAACAAAATTTCTCCCATGATAGAAGAAAGTCGGGTGTCCAACCCTTCTGGAAGGGGGTGTTGTTATGGATGCCACAATGCTTCCAACCTTGATATACTTTTTGTCATGGTCCAATTCATAGCATGGCTTTCCAGCTCAGTTCACACAAGCTTGGTCCAGCACCTAGCCTTCGCCGCTTCCTCCAACTCCTGCGTCTTCGAGGCCAGGTCAAAGAGCCAGTTGTTTTTACACACTGTCTTCCTCCAAGTCAACCAAATTGCTGTACATGAAGGGTAACTTGAAACATCTTGAAACCAGGCCGCCACATCTACAGCACAAAAAGCAATTATGATGAGACCAGAAGTGGTGTTCAGACTGAGCCCTTGCAAAAGGAAACAAAATAGAAAACGTATGGGACGTCTCAACTGCAGCTCCTGGAAGCTGAAGCGACGCAGCACCTCAGGTGATGTTGGCAGGCTCTGTATAACAAGGGCTTTGGGTGTGTACCTCAACATCTTCAGAACAGCAAACCACACGCATGAAGCAACATGTTTCAGGAATATGTTGTTGTTTTTTTTAGTGCCGTCCCTTCTTTCCTTGGAATGGTCCTTACTGGAACATCTGCTGCGTGCGTGGGAAGGCCAAGAGCCCTGCTGTCCTCTGCTGCGGCATCACCCTAAAGGGCAAATCACTCTGAAAAGAAACAAACCCTTGCTTTCAGAAGCTGTGGGTTTATATATTTGTATTTATTCAGAGCGGAACAACTCAAGCCCAGCTTGTGGAGAAAGCACCCAGCCTTTCACTGTGGCGCCTTTTTTTCTGCAGGCTCCTGGGGCTGTGTTGCCCTTCGTACATGCACCTTCTCACACACATGGGCAAGCCTACGAAATGGCTGATGGATCAGCCCGTCCGACTCCATCGGACGAGTGTTCTCCGCCTGTCCGCCCGTCCGACGTCCGACGAAACGGGATGATCGATCCCAATCTCCCCTCCTCGGGAGCATCAGAGTTGCCATCTCGATGCTCCTGCAAAGCTGACTGGCCTCCCACCTTCCAAGCCCTCCCAACTACAAAGCCAAAGAAGTCAAAGCCCAGCCCAAGACAAACGTGTTTGTTGCGGACTTGCAGGCCGAGTTCCCGGTTGCAAAACATGAAAACAACCTGCCCTCCAGAAGTGGTCACCCTTGGGCTCTGCAATTTTCCAGGAAAGCTCCGTATATAGTACAGTACCTATTCACGAAGTCTTCAAGTCCTAAGTCGTTCCCTGCTCGAATTAAACCTCCAGAGTGTCCCTCAATCCTCCATGCTGGGGGTATCACTGCAAAACACCTGGCATCACAGCATCCACAGTGCTTCCTCTACTGCGAAGTCGCATTCCAGTAGAGCCAGCCGCCCCAGCTTCTCTTTGGGTGCCTGTCACAGCCGTGCACGCACCACGAGAAGGAGAACCCGATGCACCGCATCACAATAACATTCAAAACAGGAAGCCGTTGTATCAGTGTGAGGCAGCTTTCACAGCAAGCCCGTTGTTTCCCATGTGTTTGTTTGATGTCTTTTGGTAGGCGGTTGGGTGGCTGACCAGGTGGTATCTGAACGGCACCTTACCAAACTGACCACCTCAACAGTTCCAGCCTTGTTCTGAGGCCTGGCAGGTTTCAAAAACATCCATCTGATGGAGGAAGTGCAAGTGGCATGGAGGAAGAACAATACACACCCGGCTTAAGCCCCAGACAGCAAAGTAGAAGGGGTCCCGTATGCCCCGCACATCAAATGAAACCACTTCGGCATCTTCGGAAAAACAAGAAATTGGTGTCTTGAGCAACTGTCGTTGATCTGGTCTATGTGTTCCTACCCTTTTCACCCGCTGACGTTCGCCACATCGGGTGGGGAAGTCCTTGGGACTGGGGGTCGAGGTCGAAACACCAGAACCATACGTGGGGTCTTATGAAGAAGAAAGGCTCCTCACATGCCCCGCTCAAATACTGCAACAGCCCCCACTGGGGTCCTTCCAGGACTTCCCTAAATGAGCTCCTGTGAGCAAATTGAGCAAGTCAACTCTTCTGATCATGAACAGTGCCTCTTCAAGCTCTTAACAAGGCATGTCAAATCTTTGGGTTGTTACAGCCAGGCCAGTCAACCACTTCAAAGATTGTGACAGTTGGCTCGGAGGCACACACGTGCCCGCGAACGCCACCCGCGAATGCCCCGGACATCACTTGAGCATCCACAATGTCCATCTTCAAGAAAGCCTGTGGTGCACGCAGGGCGCGCTGCGCCGTGCACACCACTATAACAAGCCCCTTCATCTATCAGGCGGTCCAATGGCACGACACCCACAACATCGCTCTCTCAGAAGTTCCAGGGATAGCTGTCTAGATAGCTTTGGATCGTGCAATCCAAGGCTCTCAGCTGAGCCAGACGGCGATGACGGTGATGTCATCACAGCAATCTTCCTTGGCAAACTTGTTCGCTCACGTGCCGTCAACATGGCGCGACATGGTGACGAAAAGCTGGTGTGACTGGGAGTTTTGTCTTGTCGTATGGTCAAAATCCGAGCCATCCTGAAAACCCTTCCCAGGATGGTCTGAAAGAAAGGAGCTGATTCGAGACCTGGGAAAGCTAGCGCAACCAGCTGGTGTTTTGCGATGAAATCCATGTTCTTCTCAACATCATTGCTAGTTCCACTTGCCTCCTTTTCCTCCCTTCCTTAGGCCACCTGCAAAAGGCGCCCTTTCAGGTTCGGTGTGAGTAGCTCCGGGGGTTTCCACTTCCTTTCGGGGCCCACTGAGCGGCTACAGTCACTGCGACCCGGGCACTGCTTCTGCCAGCCACTGCTTTCGGGACTCTGCAGACAACTTCCTCAGATCCGGATCTCCCTCCAAAGATCCCGGTCAGCTTCGGTGGATGAGGCACCGCCCCAGTCTAAAGCCTAAACCAATGCAATGGAAGCCCTGGCAAACCGCAGCTTGCCACAACACAGGTACCACTCGACTGGGTTAATCTCTTCTTTCGGGGATCAACAACTCGGGCAGAGCATTGGTTTGCCTCCTACTGCACAACTTTCAATGTCCGAAACGCTCACAGTGCAAACTTCTAGAGCAAGATAGTATTACTGTAGATAGAACAAGGCCACCCTCCAACTGCAGTCATCTCAACTCATTGCTTAGCATCAACACGGCCTCGGCCGCTTTCTTGCGCCCAGCCTTGCAGCGGTAAATGTGGAGGTTCCAAAGCACAATCAATAACTCTTAATTATACTGATACTGCATGATCTGTAAAGTATCAAAGCGACCACAGTAAGACCTCGCATCTGGGTAGTAAGCTGACCTAAGCTCAATTTGGAAAGGTCTGATCTAGAGTATAGCCTACAAATGGTCCAAGTCAAAAGTGTTGTCTCAGTGAGGTACCTCCACTCTGAACCAACAAGATCCCTGCTCTTTCGCATGTGCCGTCATCAAAAAACACACACTTTCAACTGGGGAAACGGCATCATTTCAATGTAGGATCTCTTTTCTTGAGAAAAAGAATGCGTCCTCTTTCGCAAAGTGTCGGCCTGTGCCACAATGTTCAGGGCGTCTCCGTTGCTGAGGAACTCCCACACGCCGTCGGAGCAGCACAGCAACAGATCGTCCTTCTGAAAATCCAAGACCTCCACGCTAGGCCTCAGCGGCCGATATGGCAAACCCAACCCTCTTTCAAACTCGATCAAATGGCAGAACGCGTCCCACAAGAAGCTTGGAACTGTACAAAATCTTTGGACATCGGGATTCTCTCTACGTCTCTCAACATGTCTCGAAAGCTGTTCTCTTACGATTCGGAATTCAGATCCGCGGGATTCGGCCAGGCTTCTCATGAATGACACCCGCCATGTGCCCAGCCAAATCGCCCACAGAGCGCGACATTGCCAAGCCCGGAATCTCTTTGCCTTTGGCAAAGACCCGATACGGCACATCCTCAGGCCAAGCGATACAGCCGAAGAACTGCATACAACTGCACAACAACTGTATACAAGACCGACAGCAGTCATTTTTCAACGGATGTCGTTGGTTGGCACATCTCAGCAACACATTCTGTACATCTCGAGCCCACTTGTCCGTCCAGAACGGGTCTAATGCTCCGTGAACTACCACGCAAGCTTGACCTATCGGACTAAATGCGCCTCATGCGGCAAAGATTGCCTTGGCCTTGGCGTAGAGTGCCTTGCCCTGAGCCGTCTTTCCATTCACGGCACAGAAGCCCTTGATGCCCAGCTCCTTCCTGGCCTGCATCACAGCAGTGTTCCATGCAGAGATGTATTTGTAGGCCTTCTTGCCAGCAGCATTCTGCAACTTCGACACGACCTTGCCCCTCTTGTTCTTCATGAGATCGGTTTTGGCATGGCCTGATGCGGTTTTCTCCTTGTTCCCCTTGAAGACGGACACCTTTGCCAGCTTGCCTCGTGCAATCTTGCTCACGGCCTTCTTCTTCATGACCTTCATAGTTGTAGGCTTTGCGGCCTTTTTCATGGACTTCATTGCTGACTTCATCACTGACTTCTTCATGGGAAGGGCCATGTTGAGGCAACAAAGA